TCGTTCGTATAACGTACATCAAACTTCATTGTCGTCAACTCTTCTATATTTAATTACTTTTTGATATGCAATAAACAGAGAGCGAGAAATCTAATCGTACAAAAACCAGAAACTTATTAAATAAGAGATAATTTATCTTTTGAAGTATTAACGATTTTTCTAAACATATTTCAAATAGAGTATCTTTTTCACTAACAAAAAGATAAATTGCACCGAAACTGATTTTTTAGATACGGTAATTATGATATGTTTACATAACATTGAAAATGGAAAAAAATTTACAAAATTAAAGAGAATTTTGAATATGTATACGAAATATTTGAACTAAATTACAAAACAACAATTGGCAAACGACCAATTGTCTTTTATGAAGACGACGACGACGAACAATTTGCTGACTGTCCATTGTTATAGCTGTTTTTAACAGCGAGTTTCAGATGATAAACTACGTACATATCGCATATACAACTGATGATTGACATGATTGCCAGCTAAATAGCACGTAACACGTGTATTAAAGCATATGGGGCATCTCTCCCAATTACAGGGTCTGATGAAGACTGTCCTCTTAAAAAAAACTCAGTTGACCTAAACCATCTTTTAATTAAAGAGCACAGAATTTCTATTTCTATTTTTATCGTCTTTAATCAGCAAAATTAAATATAAATTCTCAACCTAAAAATGTCTCCAAGATCAATAGATTGGTAAAAAAAAATCCACGAGGTAGAAATTAAATGAAAAACATCTTATAAATAATATTGTCCTATTTTAGGCCAAAAAATGGAGTAATTAGATAATTTACAAATTAGAATTAAATTTGAATTAGATTTGAAAAGTATCAGCAAAAAAATTTAACACAGTAAATTATTGAAAGAAAGCAGAATTTCGAGGGTCAAAAATCATTCCCCCTTCTCTCTTCAATTCCATTCATTCGCAAGAACTTTCGAGATTGGATTTTAATTAATCGCAGTTTCTGCGAAAACTAAACTCGAATATTTAACATCATTTTGCTAATGTTCCAAGAAACTGGTTGAATTTCCTTCACTGATTGAGTGTATTGACGCGATAAAATTCTTCATTAACTGCAGATTGCTATTTCGATAAAGTTAATTATTTCCGCTTAGTGACCTTCCCAATTCATCATATTTGAAATTATGGGATGTAATACTTTTTGTCAGTACACGAAAAATTGAACGACAAATTAAAAGCATACATACGTTACAGTAGATGATTAGTCAAGTTTATTTTTTACTTTGCACGTATCACCAAAAAATCAAGTGAATAAAACTTTTAAAATGTAACTTTAATAAGAAATAAAGAATATATAAATAAAAATCTTAACGGGAAAAAAACTACTGAATTGAAAGATAGAAATTTTTGTAAAAACAATTGTTAACGAAAAATCAGTCATTTCCGGTAAATGGACCCGCATTCAATTTCCTGTAAAGTATAATTAAGCAAATTACCAGTCAGAATAAAATATAAAAAGCTCTTTTATAAGGAGCAAGGGCATTGGTGAAAATGACCAATAATTAATCATGACTTTGAGAAAAATAACAATAAAACTATGTACTTGTTTTCAATACGTAACGCTCTATAGCTCTAAACTGCTGTTAGCAAAACGCTAGCAAAACTCGTTGTACAAGATCTCATTTAAAAGACTGCTTTGAATTGGTTACGTTTAAACAATGCACATCAATATATGGTTTTTGTGAAGCATTTAGAAAAATTTTCGCACTGGCAATAGTTTGTGACATCAGTCCGCATACCACTAGCTCGCTTAAATGAGTACTCTCGTTTTAAACAACACGCAACCGCACGAAAAATGGAAAATCGAATAAGCGAATCGATAAAGAGTTTCAAAATATATCTACTTATAAAATTCTACAAATGACGAAAAATACCGTAATGGTAAACTTTCATGAGCTTAGTTCACTTTATTATCTGTTAGGTAGAAAGATATTCAGAACAATCAACCATGTTTTACAATAGTATTATAAAAACAAATCTTTCTAAAAAGATTCACAATAAAAGAAGATTAAAATTCATCTACAGCAGTCAAGAGTCAAATGATCAAACAAATATGACGTAATCAAGACAATGTGTCCATCAACCTCTGTGAACATTCCTCTCTCTCTCGCGATCTGTCTACTTTCAAAGATACCTGACCCTGAATGAATTCTATTTTTTTCATCAATTAAAAATAATAAAAATTCCAAACTAACCGTTTTGTTTCCACCAAAAGATGATTATATATTTAGTGAAAAATGTTTATTGATTCACCTGAATAAATATTTATTTTTTAATTTATTTTTTTAAATAAACAATCAAAAAAGTGTTTGTTGAGTTATAGAATAAATCATTTAAGTATTTTCAATCATGAAAACATTAATCAACATCAATTGAGCGATCAGATTTCTCATGCGTGTAATTCGTGAATATTACGCTACGAAATTGTTCAATGGAATAAACGCATATAAATTTTGAAGGACATGTTCTTTTCAAAAAGAAACTAGAATTTAATTTCAAAAAGAAGAAAATAACACTTTACACGTTCCATTTACACACAATTCAATAATTATTTTCTGGCAACACTGTAAAAAATCTATTTTGCAAAAACGTTGATATATTTTTTATTTTCAAAATTATCACTGAAGTGTAATTTTCTTTTGTTAATTTTAAAAATTTATCCGAACTATAATCATAAAAAAAATGAAATATTAAAGTAATTTTTCTAAATAATTTAGAGTAAAAAATTTGATTAGAAATTTTGTTTTGTTTAATTTGCTACTCTAAACAAATGTGTAGAAAACTATTTTTAAAAAATACAGGATTCGCTAGTTCTGAACGTTCAAATGAACGAAATTTTTTACCAATATGAATATTTTCAAAAATTACTGATTGTTATAGAAAAAATTAAGTTGGTTTTTTTCAAACCTTAGGAAATAAAATTTGAATAAGAAATAAATTTCGTTCATTTGAGTTTTCAGAATAGAACATAAAATTAAGAGTAAACTTTTTAAGATTCCTCTAGTATGAGTTTTCATAGTAAGCTGGAAATATTTTGAAAAATGCCGAATTGAATAAGAACGAAGAAGCGAGTTTTTCAAAAAATAATTACGATAATTTTCTCTCAAATGGTTCAAAGTTAGAGAAAAAATGTTTAATTTGTGTCAACACAAAGTGAGGATTGAACATTCAATCCAGGTTAACCAATGACCTTCCTGACAAATTCGCACCGTGTGTATAAGCTCACTTGGTATTCATCTGTGTACCCAACGAGCTCACTATAGAGTGCCTAAAATAACCGGTAGAACCTAGAATTTCTAGATCCTATGTAGAATGAGTGCCAATTTTTGAATCTAAATCTAGTATTTTTCTTCCGACCGTTGTCCCTCACTCTTTTTTTTGTCTTTTGCTAGCCAAACACCTGTTCTTCAATTTAAAAAAAAAAAAAAATAAAATAACACAAGATAGAAGTAAATTACGACAGATTTTGAACAAGATTCAAAAGGCATATTTTATTTTATATGACAAGATCTATTATTATAAGAAACAAGGTAAAAAAGAAACGGACAATTAAAATTCTATTATAATAATGTTATTTTTTGAAAGAGAGTAAAATTTTTCGTTGTATTTCGGGCTCGATTATTATTTGTGTAAAACTTCATCGCGAAATTCATTATTTTTCTCATTCTCGCTAATTTTAAAAATTACTTAAAACTTTTCACATATGTTATATATGTTTACGCAGCTTGAAAATTGTTTTTCCTTTTCTTTAAATATTTTAATTCATAAAAATGTGAGAATTATACTGTGTATTCTATAGGTTTTTTTTTTCATTCATTGAGAATTATAATTTTTCTTATTAAATACAGTGAATGAACATTTAAATAGATTTTTCTTTATGAATCACGATACGATGATATTAAAAACGTTTAATATTTTTAAAATCATTATTCAAACGTATATTTATATTGCACTTTTACACATTTCAACTAAAAGTATATTGCTTTTTTTATAAAGATAACTTTGACTCTTTTGAAACATTACACACATATAGAATTTTATTTACATGACTCTAATAAAGTCTTTTGAAAATTTAACACAAATTATCATATTATATGTATCTATGGTATAGAATTATAAAAACAATGTATTAAATATTATTTACAATAATAAATAATTAACAAAAATATCCTACAAATTAAATTATTCACAAAATTGTCTATATTTGAAATAATTTCGATTTAGTTGAGAAGAATTTTTTATTTCAAATATCAAAATGGAAGTAAGAAATATTGTCGAAAATTGTCAACTGAATATTTGCAAAAAAAAATGAAATAGAAAAAAATTATTTAATTTAAAAAAATATATTTTAAAATCGTATCATATTTAATTATTTAATGCAATTAAAAATTTTCTTCACTCTAACTTTAAATAATACTTTTCCATAAAATGAGATTGTAAAAAATTTAACACCACGTGGGACAAGAATGTCAAAAATATGACAGTAGAAAGAAGAGTAATTTAATCTGAACTAGAAAAATTGTCTCTCCTAATGATTTTTACTGATGTCAAATAAATGACAACAAACTTGATAAACACTGACAAATGGAAATATTAAGACAACTTCATTTTTTCAATTTTCAATTTCTAATTTATATCATTAAGGTCATGTTATTCAGTGGTCACGTGCCCCATATACTTTACTATGGGGCACGTGACCACTGAATAACATGACCTTAAGTCTCAAAAAATCTGTATTCTAAAAAAATATTTAGAGGAACAAATTTTCGACAAGAAGACGAAATTTTCGCAAAATTCTTTCCCAGTAAAATTAGCAAATATTTCTAAATTTTTAGTTCTCAACTATTCTGTTAAAAATATGAAAATTCTTACTATTTCCATTCTCACGTGATTTTTCTTTTTCTAAGGAGACGTTTAGCTGAACTGAACTTTAAAAAAAAGTTTAAAAAAATAAAATTACTTTAGAAATAAAATAATTAAGAGGACCATTAAACATTTTCAATAGAAATTTAAGATATTTAAAATGACTTTTAAGAATCGAAAACTATTGCTGAATGACTATTCATTGTATTGATTTTAACAATACGATTGATTCTGCATCTAAAAAAAAACTTCTTCGAACATCTCTTTCGGAAATAATGCCTAATTTGGATCGTGATTAAACGAACATTTCTTTTTTCTTTAAATATAATCTTGAGGTAGGGAGAAAAATATCCTAGGGACAATTATTCTCTAAACTATCACACAGCATACGGGAGTTTTTTTTCAGACTCGCACATTATTTTTTTTTTTACTACAAGAACGCATGCTCATTCGCATCGGTCGTCTCGCATACGAAAAACCGAAGATACATCTGAAATGCGCAGCAACAAACGACAAACCTTACTGCACCTGACAATCCGTTGCATTTCGAACAACATCGAATGCCACATTCACGATTTCACTGATATGCTTCTTCCCTGCACTGCACTTGGCATCACTCGCAGAACAAATCAGAGCGATCGCCACGCACACTTTTTAATGTTTTTTTCCTGGTGCGATTTTTTTCTTTTTTTTTAATTATTAATATTATATTATTAAATAGCCAGTTTTTTTTTCTTTAATATATTATTATAATATTATTATGTTATTCTTGCAATCTTAAAAAGAACACTTCCCCTACAGGTTCAAGGCCTGAAGGGATTGACTCTCTCGTCGACGTTCAGGACTGCGATGGACATTTAGATTCTCGATTACTAAATTGCACTATGACAAATAAATTCACGACAACAGCACCATCCATATAAACTTATACCGAACTACGCGCCTCGTCGTAAAGGTACCACTCTCTTCTGAAAACGACGACGCTCCCTAGACTCGTAATGGCAAACGAATTCCGAGGTTTCCGATGTCTCCCCGCGTGCTTCGTTTTAAATGTTGAATAGTTACGGCGACTAGCTAGCGTTTAACGAACTTTATACATCGGCGAAACAAAGCAAAAAAGGGAGAAGGGGGGGGGGGGTGATGATCTTCTTTGCACAAATGAACCACCTATGGAAGTATCGGTTGTCATCAATAGCCGCTTCCCTCCTCGTTGATTCAATTTTGGGAATTCACTCCAATTTTGGATAAAAAATTTGGTAAATTTCAGGAAATTTTTTTGGCAGAAGGAACTCCTTTTGAATCTATGATCCTGGCATTGAATAATAATGATGATGATGATGATGATGATGATTATGTTGATGATAATGATAATGATGATAAACACCATTTGGGAGAGTAGATTCTTCCTGGTAAAAATAAGCCTTGAATTGTATACTCGTCGCTAGGAAACGAGATCTGGACGTCGACGCTCGTCTCCCCGCGGACATCCGATAGTCCGTAATGCGTCGCGATAGCGGTTTCTCCGCGTGCCAGAATCCATAATCGACAATCGGGTCGATTGTTCAGAACTCAGCAAACTCCTTGGCGCATTTTTCTGTTGAGGAAATTCTCAGAGCCTCCTCTTCGTAATCGTCGAAATTGCTAGTGTCACCGGGTCCCTTGCAACGCGGTATAAATGGAGCCTCGATCCTCTTCTGGAAGACAGCAATCCAATCGGTACTGGTGAACCATCTGTGACCTTTGATATCATTAACGCCGGCCTTTAAATTACCGTACCTCTTGGTGAGATCTACCTGCAATAGATTGCGCAATAGATCCTTGAGATCCGTACCGAAATGTGAGGGGAAACGGACCTTGCCACTGACGATTTTCTCATAGATCTGAATCGGTTGATCGGCAAAGAAAGGTGGATAGCCAGCGGCCATTTCATACACTAGAACACCCAACGCCCACCAGTCGACAGCCTTGTTATAACCCTTGCTGAGAATAATTTCAGGTGCAAGATACTCGGGCGTACCGCACAGGGTCCACGTCCTGCCTTTCACTCTCTTGGCGAAACCAAAGTCCGTGACCTTGAGGTAACCTTGGGAGTCTATAAGAAGATTCTCGGGCTTAAGATCTCTGTAGATAAGGTCCAGATAGTGGAGATATTCAAATGCTAATACAATCTGCGCTGCATAGAATCGTGAATGGGGTTCTGAAAAACGACCGACCTTTCTTAGATGACTGAACATTTCACCCCCTGGTACGTATTCGAGCACCATGTACAAATTCGAGTTGTCCTTAAAGTGAAATCGTAACGAAACGAGAAATGGAAAGCTAATAGCTTGGAGAATTCTCTTCTCATTAAGGGTATGCTCCACCTGTTTAAGTTTAACCACCTTCTGTTTGTCGAGTATTTTCATTGCATAATATTCCTTGGTGGGTTTGTGTTGCACTATCATGACCCTACCAAAAGAGCCCGTTCCCAAGGTCTTAATTCTCTCGAAATCATCAAGAGCAGCGGTGTTGGTGGGATTTTTCTTCCATTTCTCCTCAAATTCCTCTTTTGCCTGATCGAGGAACTCCTTGACGCTCTCTGCCGCGTCCACCTTCTTATTCGCAGTCGCGGCATTATTGCCCATTTTACCAGCCGCGCTCCAGCCTGCCAGGGCTCCACGCACGTCGAGTTTCTTCAGTGTTTCGTTTTTTTATTTTTTGCACTACCAAGGAGCTGTAGTAAATCGTTCACCAACTGGATTTACACCGTGCAACCTTGAATTCTTTTGTAGACAAAAAACTCCTTTTTTTAATCTTACTTGTCCTTGAGAAACACACAAGATAACCTTCCGTGTCTAAGGTATAAATAGGTCAATACAATACATTGTCTACAACCCGCGCCATATTTTAGCAGACAACTTACAACCCTTTAACAATCGCTAACCACCGTTTTCCTTTTTTTTTTGGTAATAAAATTTTCTCTCACTTCGAAGTAGTAACACTGCACTGGGAGTGACTCACTATTTTTTGCTTTTCTTTTCACAGTTTTACTCGGGGGATTCGCTAATTGTTCCTGAACGGTGTCAGGTACATATGTAGCCGTTCGTTGTATTTAAAACACGAGCGGACGAATCATTCGACACTATTGCACTATAAACCGAATTCACGAGTCACTTTTTTTACCTTCAACGCCCGATAACACCTATCCGCTGTCACTTTATTATCGTTGAGCGTTGAAATCGATCCGTCTAGTACAGCAGACGAGACAAATACCTCTCTCTCTAAGATGGCGGCACAACCTGGCCTGCTCCTCCCGGAATTTATACAAATGCGACAAATGGTAGAGGAGACGGACAGTGCTCTCTCCAGGAAGAGAAGGAGACTCGCGTTCACTCTCTGCCGCGCACCATGCACCGAGTAACGAGCCGAGTGAGAACGATCAGCGCAGACGTCAACAAGTACACAAGCAGAATGACAGCTCGAATTCAAAACAACACTATCATCATCCTTATTTATCTCTGTGACACAATATTTCAAAAGTTAATTTTAATACCAACAAATTCTTTTTATTTCTATTTTCTAATTCTCTTTTCTCTCTCAACTCACAAAATTATCTCAAAGTTGAATTTGTATTTTACCGCATGAGACGAATTGGAGTGTGCTGCTCCCTTTCCAAGCCATGACGAAAAGCTAACAATATGCTGAGAAACCGGTTGGTAAAAGTATATATCTAATCTTGCGCTGCGTTGTGCTGCCACTGAGACAATATTTCAACTACGAAAATAAAACTCGAAGATCAGGAAGACTGCTACTATTCAGCTGACGAATGAAAATATTTTCCTCTCTCATCGCTTTTTTTATTGTCTATTAGGACCTCTTATAGACCCTTAAATATCCTCCAAATATTTTTAAGTTACCTGTCGAATTAATGGAAAATTAATACAAGAACCTCCACTTCACTCCTTATAACTAACAAACTTCATCAATTGCTCCAAAATAATTTGAAATGATTTGTAAAAAATTTTAGTTCCCCACAGAATCTAAAATTGGAGCAATGTTGACATTGCTACAATATTGCCAATATTGATGCAACTTCGAATGCTGTGTGGTTTTTTTTTATTACTAAATGGGATAAACTACAAAAAGGGTGTTTATAATACTAAAATAAAAGTACTTTAATTTTAATAAAAAATTATTTCTTTTAGAAAAATATGAAGGTAGTTTTTTAATAATATATTGCTTTTTAAGAAGTAGATCTTCCTAATTTTATCACTGATTTAAAAACCACAATGAATTGGCACTGAAAAAAAATTTGCTTCAAATAATCAATTACTAGACTACTATCAAACAAATATTTATTTGTGGCAAATAATTAGTATTTAAATCATTAAAATGGTAATTACTCCAAATTACAAAATTATTGATCCGCACATGGTTTATTTGACTCCAATAACATATACCAAATGATCAAATAAATATTGATTTAGTAATACTGTTTTGTAAATGATTATTTGAACCAAATATATTTTCTTATCAAAAATATAGAAAATGTTTCTTTAAACATAAGATATTACCAGTCTTAGATCTGGATGCTGCAAAAATTTTATTTTCTTTTTCCCTGGTCAATTATTTTTAACAGAATTTTAGGAAATTCAAATTATTTCCAAAAATATCAATTAATAATTGTTCATAATATTTCAATTATCTTGAAAAAAATAGGAATAAAAAAAATAAAAAACTAATTATTCAGAGTATAAAATAAAAATTTTTCAAAACTTTAATTTAAAAAAAAATTAATCAGGATGTCTACTGAAAATATATATGACTTAAAATTCCAGGACATTTTCAGGTCAGATTTCTTATTTTTCCAGGACATTTATATATGTGTTATATTATTTCATATTACGATTAACATAATTTAAATTAACCTACTTGAACAAGAATATTTATTTTATTATAAAAAGAGTTAAAAAACTATATTGTAGATATCAGTTTCTTTAAACAAAAGAAAATTAAAATTATTTTTTAAATTTGAGTAAAATTTTTAAATTATTGAATATTTAAAAGCAAAATATGGAAAATTCAAGGACAAAAGTTCATAATCCAGGACATTTCAGGACATTTTTTCAAATTCCAAGAGATTTCCAGGAATACATTTGTTTATTTTTAATCAGGGCTCGAACCAGTGAAAGTATTTAAAAATACAGACTTTACGGACCAAAAATGAAAAATTACGGACCATTTACGGACCAATTGCTGACAAAAATATAACCAGTCAGCGTCAAATAAGAGAACATTTTACTTAAAACTATAAATTAAATTTTTCATAACTAAAAAACATGAAGATATCGATGATCGATTTCTTCATGTTTTATAATAAAAATAATTAAAGATGACCCAGTGATAAAATTATTATTTTCAAGAATTATTAACTAAAATTCTTCAATTAAATATATATTAGAAAATACAAACTTCAAATAATATAAAAAAAAAAATCCGCAATTAAACTTTTTCAAAAAAAATTAATTTAAAAAAATTGTTAGTTTAAGAAAAATAAAAATTTGAAAAATTCAAATTTTCAAAGATTTTAATCTGAAACCTTTTCAAAATTCAATTATTACTAAAAATTTATGCTCTGTTTTTAATATTCAATTATAATCTAAAATTTTAACTGAAATCCATTTTTAAATTAATTTTTATTAGAAAATTCAACCAGAATTCAATTATTTAAATACAAAAGTAAATTATTTATTGAATAATTGAATATTTCTTAAAAGAGGAGGAAGAATTCAATTAAAATTGTATTAAAATTAAAAATAATTTAAATTCTGCAATGAGTTTTATTATTTATCAAAATAATTGAATTCCTAATAAGAATTTTATTATTTACCAAAATAATTGAATCCCTGTGAAAATTTTATTATTTATGAAAATAATAGAATGATTGAGAAAAGATTTATAAAAAAATTTGTAAATAATAAAATTCCTGTGAAATTTTTATTATTTTTTGAAAATAATTAAAGGTTTGTGTAGAATTTTAGTAAATTTTCTTTTAAATAATTGAATTCTTTTGGAAAATTTTATTAGAATAGTATATAAATATACCTATTAAAAATCATTGAATTGAGGAAAATTTTTGAAAATAATTGAAATTTTGCCAAGAATTTTATTAAAATTTTTGAAAATAATTGAATTTCGGAGAAGAATTTAATTATTTTTAAAAATAATTAAAATTTTGACGAGAATTCAAAAAAATTTTTGAACATAATTGAATTTTTGGCAAGATTTTTATTACTTTTAAAAGTAATATTGAATTCCTACAATCATTTTGCAATTTCTCTAAAATTATCCAAATTATATCGTACAATTTACGGACTTTAGAGACCGTTTTTTAAAAAAACGGACTTTTACGATAAAAAATATTTTTAAAATATGATAAAATAAGATTTGAAAAATTAATTTTTTCATTCGCCAATTTTTTTTAATACAAAAACTTTAGTAGTTTCTACAAAATTACGCATGAAAATTCAAAAAGGGTCGAAGTATTTTCGAATATGTAGATTTTTTTTTTCTACTTAATTTTCTCTAAAAATTACTAAAACAATTTTAAAGAATTAAAGTTGAAAGAAGTTAACAATTTTTCCGAATCAATCTCACAAATAAATAAAATCTCTTAAATAAATCTCTTGATAACCTCATGGGTTTCATAAATATCGACAGCACAGCTGCCCTTTGATAATTTTGAAATTATTAATTAATTTCGAAAATATTTTTCAGATTAAGCAGGTTTTTGTATTAGGGCAGCTGTGCTGTCGATACCCATGAGCTTATCAAGAGATTTATTTAAGAGATTTTATTTATTTGTGAGATTGATTCGGAAAAATTGTTAACTTCTTTCAACTTTAATATTTAATTACCGAATGATAAATTCATTTCCTTCAATGTTAAAGAATATTTAAAATATTTTATTGATGTAGTTAAAAATATCGGTGAACTTCTCACTTAAGAACATGTTATTCAGTGATCACGTGTTGTAATAGTAAAGTATATGGGACGCGTGACCACTAAATAACATTACCTTAATTATATAAATTATAAAATAAATTTAATTATTTTCTAAAATAAGAAAAAAATGTATTGCTTCAAATTTTAGTGTGATTATGAAAATATTTTAAAGCGAAAACATTTCAAAGGAAAATTAAAGGTTTTCAAGTTTTTTAAAAAAATATTGTTTGAACAATTAGAACTAGAATTTTTATAATAATTCTAGAAATTTGATATTTTTTGCAGTGTTTTTGATAAAATTCCATGACGATTTCCCTAACCTGTGATAACTCTATAGCTTTAAAGCACGTGAATTTATAAAAAAAAATGAACTCTTCATTTTTCTGACAGAAAAATTGATTCTATTCTATTCAAATAATTGCTTCGTGTTTCTTTTCCCGAATGTTTAAATATGTAAAAAAAAATGTCTATTTCAATTTCAATATATGAAATGTAAAACAGAATTTCACAAGAATAGTAATTCGAGAAACATATTTTAATAAATAGCATTCTCGAGAATATATTTTAAGAACACAATACGGAATTAATGGTTGTATATCAAAAGAAGAAAAAATTTCAGCTTGAGATAATTTAGCTTCTCATCGGTCCAAGCTGAATAAATAATAATTTCCAAAAGCTTATAAAAAAATTCTACAATATTCAAAATATGTTTAAAATATAAATTTTATTCTTTGAAAAAGATGATAACTTTGTCAAAATCTTAAAATAAACATGATGCCAACGGTAAAATGCAATTTTCTCAATATTTCTAAAGTATTAAATCTTTTGTTAAATGTCATTCTCTAAATCAAACGTGTATTAACAGTAAAATTTTATTAAATATCTACACTTATGAAAAACAATATTTAGATTTTCAATAATGTGTAAATATTTCGTCACATTATTTCCATCAAAACTAATATATAAAACACACGTGTTTTATTATTAAACTATTCAGGAATATTTGGAGCAGCTAACTATATTTCAAAAATTTTCTATTTATAATATTGAATTAAATTTCAGAAATTCGACAAAGCACTTGAACTATATTGGCATTTCTCTTAAAAATTCAATAACAAAAATTTTCCATTTCCTTGAAAAGAAAAATTACTCTCAAAATCTAAATCATGAAAAGTTATAGTAGTAAAAAGTCGTCCACTAATTTTAATTTAACATGAAATTTCATTAATTTTTCTTAAAAGAAAATTTATTATTTTTAATTTTAGTAAAAAATAAATGAGGCTGAAGTCCGCAACGCTGAGCATTTTTTTGCACGCAATCAAAAAGAAACGAGCAATTTTTTAAAAACATTTTACGTTAAAAATATACACTGAAAATTTTTTAATTCCCTAAGTGAATAAAAAAAATATAATTAGTGACATTTTCATTTTTAAAAAGCCCAAATAATAAAAGCGTCGACACTCAGAAAATTACGAAAAACAAGAAAATTTCTACATATACGTTTCTTGTAATAAAAATTATTATCCACTAATTCTATGACTTTTATAAAATCTAACATTTTTACAGGCCTCGGATAGACTTTAACGTGAAAAAAATCGCTTTAGTCAATTGAATATTCGAAAAAAATTTCTAAATTCAATTATTTAAAAATTAAATAATTTTGTTAAATAAAAAATTTAAATACTTGTTACCATTTATTTTTGCTCAGGAATTTAAATAATTTAAGAAACTTTAACTTCAAACATTCTGATAGTCAACTACTTCTAAAAATTAAAACTGCAATCCTTCCAAAATTTAATTATTTACAAGAACTTTTAACTAAACTTCTTTTTACTGAATCAATTATTTTAAAAATTTCTTCCGTAAGTTTTTTAAGAATTCAATTATTTAAATACAAAAGTTCAATTTTATA